TACTAATTATATTGATAAAGTATATCTCATCCCATGTTTAGTTCAAGTATTAAAAAATAATGGGTCTCGCATTTATCCTATCAAATATTTTATTTGGATAGAATATTAAATGATAGTATAAAAATATTAAATTACTAAAGAACCTTCTAGATAAAGAGTAACAAATATATTGTAACCAAACTATTTAAACCTAGCAAAAATGTGAGTTTATTTAAGAGGTTGTAAGTGTTGTTAAATACACTATTCATCCAGACCCGTATTATTTCTAGGTAATAATAGCAGACCCAAAATGTATATTCAAATATTAGTATAAGAGGAATAAGGTATGCCAACATTATTTTTCTGGGTTCCTCTTTCCCCTGAAAGTTCTATCTATGTTGAGTATTTGTCCCCAAGTGGAAGAACAGAATTCCTCAGTCACGGAATTGACCAGTATGTTGAAGTATTGGCACCATTTATGGTTAACTTTGAGGTCTCTCGGCCGATGTGGTCAAGTTGTTGAAGTCATCGTCACAACTCTCAGTATATTGTTTCATACTGTTCTGTAATATCGCGATATAACGTGAATATCTTCCTAGTGCATTTATATCTTCTTTTGTATGTATTGTCTGATACAGTTATGCTGTGACACCATGATCTGTCCTCCAAGTTGATGACCGACACCGAAACCTTGAACCATGGTAAGACATTGTACAATGGTAGTGTTGACTACATATGAAAGCATATGGGTGAAGAAATTAAGATGTTAGCTCAACTAATGCACACAAGGTGAGGTAACAATCATCTAGATATGTTCTTATCAAGCATTAGACAATCAAAAATTAATTCAAATCTGTCATTGGAAACACCATAAAACATTCACCTTATCTAAATTTCAACCATGATAAACAGTACATAAACAGGGGACGAGGACGAGGACGAGAAGGAAAAGGAGAAGAATGAAAGAATTATCTACCAACAATCATAGTAACTGTGACATTGTTTGAGGATACCATGTCATGGCTTCCATTCCATAAGTCCATATCCACAGAGCTTCTCATTGAAGTAAAAGTGGGTTGTCTTGGCAAAGGCAAAGTTGCACTGTCAGTCTCCAACATCAACACCACAGACGCCATGACCGGCCTATGAACCGCCATGTCTTGCACACACAACATCCCTAAATTTATGCATCTTAACACTTCATTGTGGCAGCAGGAGTTGATAATCGAACGATCGACTAGATCCATTGCTTTGTTATCTGCCCACAGGTCCCAAGCCTGAGAAAAAATATAAAGTTAACCTAACGTTACAACACGAAATTAGTTATTCAACTACATAGTAAATCTTATGTTACAGTCATTGGATCAGTGAACATGTGTGTGTAGACTTACATATCCAATAATGTTTGAGTATTCAGTTGAGCGAAAACTAGTATTCCTCCGGCCACTAATAATCTCTAACAATAATATCCCGAAACTATAGACATCAGACTTTATAGAAAATAGACCTTCCATTGCATATTCAGGAGCCATGTAGCCACTGCAATCATCAAGAAGCGGCAAAACTCGAATTAGTACTGCATATGAGTGAAAAAGATGATTCAATCTGTTGTTAGTATGGAAACTTCTAACACTCACTATGTACCAACAACCCGATTTGTGTTGGCTTCATTTTGGTTTCCTCCAAATATTCTGGCCATACCAAAATCCGAAATTTTTGGGTTCATCTCTTCATCCAACAAAATGTTGCTCGCCTTTAAATCTCTATGAATTATTCTAAGTCTTGAATCTCGATGAAGATATAGGAGCCCTCGTGCAATTCCTTCAATGATTTTAAAGCGTTGCTTCCAGTCTAGTTGGGCTTGCTTAACAGTGTCTGCCAAAACTCATCAAGGAAGGCAAAAAATTTCAAAAATGAACTCTTTTGTAATTAACAGCAAAAACATCTCATCTTCTTAACCTTGAAAAGTGGAAATAAGAAATTTAATCGAATTCGAATGAGAAAAGAAGTAAGAGTGTGACTATAAAAACTAACCAAAAATGAATGAATCCAAACTGTTGTTGGGCATGTATTCATAGAGCAGCATCTTTTCTTCCCCTTGAATGCAACACCCCAAAAGTCTGACTAAATTTCTGTGCTGTAATTTGGCAATTAGTGTAATTTCATTCTTGAACTCTTCTAAACCTTGTCCAGACTTTCTTGAAAGCCTCTTTACTGCTATTTCTTGACCCCCTTGTAGCTTACCCTGAAGGACAAAGGAATATGTAGCTTTGCCTAAGTACGTTCCAAACGGCCATTTACAAATTCTAGCAATTTGTCAAAGCAGAAAAGAAAACTTTACCTTGTAGACAGAGCCAAATCCTCCTTGTCCAAGTTTGTTTTCGAGCGAAAAGTTGTTAGTAGCTGCAGCTACACTATTGAAATTGAACAATGATAATTCTTGTCCGGATCCTTGCTGCCCTTCGACACTGAGGTCCCCTGTTCCAGAAAAATCTGTTGAAAATTCTCCACTTGGGTTGGCACCAATTTGTGGTAATTCATGGTTCTTTCTCCTTGAACCTGTTATTCCTGTAGTTGAGAGTTGGGAGATAGAAATTAAATGGTTTAGATAATCAAAACGACATCTATTTCATAAACACCTTAAAAATTTTACCTTTTAGTTTTGATTTGTATCTCCACAGCAGCCAAATGAACATGCTTAGGAAGAATGTTCCAGCTACTGAGACAGCCATTATCACAAGTATGGTCACTTTTCTCTTGCCACCTGAAATTAAAATATGATGACATTGAAGATAAGATTGTACAATTTCTTGTATACTAAAACAACTATCCTGAAACTGAAAATCTTATGCTTCTTTCGGGCTCAATTTTCCCATAAACAAAGATCGCTAACTCAATTGTTTCATGTCTCTCCTGAAATAGAGACTAATGAAATGTAGCGTTAAGTGATGATATTTTGAAGCTAGCTAAAGAGGGATGCAATTGGTGACCGAGAACTATCCCAACAGGACTCACTTTGATTCGTGGCTATATCGTGAACTCTGCAGAGTTTTGTATTTCGGAGAGAAGGTTGGGTGCCACTTTGTTGCAGCCCTTCTGAATAACTTATTTGTGATTCTGTTGTGAGCGCTTAACATAATGGGAATAACTCTTGACTTAGTAATGACAGTTCAAATCTAGGTAAAGAGGGATGATTAATGCAGAGTTCTTCAGAGAACAATTTCCAGAAAAGGCAGTTCACGTACAAAGACCAATACTCTTCCTTGAGATTTCTGATAACTTCATTTGGCCATTGATCCCAACACCCCCCAAAAAAAAAAAAAAACACCACCACCAACAAAACAGCCCAAAACCACCAAACCAAACAAAAAAAATATAATGAAAACCATTTGACAGTTTCTCAGATAAATTCTAACAGCAAAACAAACTTGAGAAAGTGAATAAAATTGTATCATGGTTCTGACAAAGCAGAGGGAAATGAAAGTTAACTTACCTAGTTCCGATTTAGGAAGACGAAGGTACAGGGTGTTCCCACCTTCATCAAAACTCTGAATGTCAACCAAATCCCCACTCCATAACATACAATTGATTCCACTAACAAAAGCATAGGCATTGCAAGAACAATTCCTCAAACACTTCTCTTCACATTCTTCATTATTGCTTTCTGAACCATCCATGAAATCTGGAAGTTTCACCCCCTCAATCCCCAAAAACCCATCCTCTCTCCCGCTCTCCCCCTCGTTCCTCTGGCACTGAGATGGTGTCCTTCTAGTGCACCCACCCGACCAATTTCCATTCCTCCATTGATCTAAGTCCTTTGGTATGAACCCTTTCATACAACTGCATATTGGAGAATTAACCACACTACAAATTCCAAAAGGTCCACATTTGTTATACAAATCACATTCGTTCCTCGGTTGCATCTGTATCACACTCCATTCCCTTAGAACTTCATCCCACCTCACCTGTCTCTCATATCCTTCCCAAGTTATCCGAAAATTGATTAAATCAGAATTGTTCATCTTACTATATGTAAAATACAACCTGCCATCCCCCTCATTCAAAAGGCGAAAACCATATAGATAAATAGCTCTCATGCGGGGGACACCAGTGAATATTATTCCATTCCAATGCCCACTTCTCCAATATCGATTCAATCCCTCCCATATCACTATCTGTGGCGATCCACGAGGATCAACACCCATCGAATACCTTCCAGGTGAAGGATCATTGGCACTTTTCCAAGAATTGAAAACGCGACTTTCGCCTTCTTCAACATTCATGTAGACTCTCATGTCAGGCAAATAAGTATCAGTCGGATAACTGAAGCTGCGCCATAAGGCCTCATCAGAATTGTTCCTAGAGAGAACAAGATCACCAGTGTCCATGAGAATAGCAGTTGAATTGCTCGATTCAATCGAAGAAGCGTTCGCTGACCAAACTGAATTGCCATTTCCATCTAGAACCATTAAATTACCATCACTTCCTATAGTTATAACTCCCCCATCACCTGATATTGGTTCTTCTCTATTGGCTACCCACACAACTGTTTGAATTGGAACTTTATCGTACCATATTCCAACGTATCGATAAGGCGAATTTTTGGGACTAAAGAACCCCAGTACAAAAATTTGGGCTGCAGAGATAATGAATTCACCATCTCTAACAACTTGTCCTTGAATGATTGTGTTGGCTCCATGAGAGAACAAGGCAGATGAATAGAAGATGAACAGTAGAGACCAAAGAAGAATGTTTCTTGGGTTTCTAAAACTAATAGCCATCTCACAATCTGAAGTTGTTTTTGCAAATGTTTCATCTAAGAATATGTTTATACATCAGTTCAACAAAAGCATGCACAAGGTGTTATGTGCATATTTAATGAATAAGCTTCTCGTAGTCATCCACTTTGGCTTTGTTTGAATTAAGTAGGGGGTTGAGAAGATTGACCCTGACAATTTTGTTGAAGATTCTTAGTTGACAAATCCACTAACACTTCTTTTTTCAATATTTTGGTGTACAACGTCGTAATTAATACGATAATAAGTGTTCCTCCCTTCAAACAATACATCATCACGTTCGAGAATTTGTATTTCTACAATGAATATAAAAATGTCTATTATTTATATTTTTTGTACAAACACATTGAATATGTTCTATTTTGGATGAGGGACTTAGAAAAATGCTATTGGTACCTAATCTCGGGATCTTATTCAATGTCACCTTGGATGGAAAACATGCTCCATCTAACATCGGAACTTACAATTAATCCAGTAACTGCATTGAATTAAGTTCCTATAGTATTGCTCGAAAGGGACATATGTTAGGTATATCCCAATAAAAAAGATGATTCCCAATGAGTTAAAAAAAATTATTTATTTCTTTTTTTTGGGGTTCTTTGTGGCATGTTGACACTGTTGGGGAACAGCTTGTTATGATAATGACAGAGATGCACATAATCAGATTATGTTAATCTGCCCAAAATCTTATTTATTACATAACAAAGATTTAGATGATTTTTTTTTTATTTTGAAAATTGATGGGATTACACTCCTAATTAATTCATTTCATTTGCCATTTTCTATATGATGCATTGATTGCAGATATTAGTATTAGAGGTTAGACTACTGTTCTTTTTGTTTGTTTATTTCTTATTATATAGTTTGTTATCACCATAAATAGCCAGACAAGAATTATATCACCGTCCACTTATTATTACATAGCTCTGTTTATTTCATTTTTGTTGGGCATTACGATTAGGAGTGTCCGAACTCATTTACGCGTATTTCAACAATTTCTCTATTCGATCCGATAAAAAACGGATCATCCACGCATAGAGTAAGGAATTCATAGGGATAAATCTCTTATGACCTGACTCAAAAGTGTTGTTAAATTTCGAACTCAATTTGTCTAGATTTATAACCCATCTTGATCTCTAATAAAAACGCATTGGAGTTGTTGTCATCGGGCCATCGGCATGACCCGACCCAATGGTCGATAACCTAGGCTCACCCTTGAGTTAGGCTACCAGGCTATGAATTGATCACCCGGATTGAAAAAGGGTAGGCACATTTTAGTTGCCTTTGAAAAATGGTCTAAACTAACTTACTTGTATCTCAATTAGTCTCCTCTTTTGTCCGGTTAAATATAGATCATTCACGTCAAAATTAAGGTATTCATGACAGGATAAATCTCTTATAACTTGATTTCATGAGAATGTCAATATTTAAACACAACACGTCTGAATTTATAATTCGACTCTATTATCTCTTGAACTACATTTGGAGTTTGCATTGATATTTTGAGACAACTCGTGTTAGGTTAACAACATTTGAAATTGTCCATTGGGGACAAAGCTGATGACTTATGGACAATTCCAGCCAGCCACTTAGTGTTCAAAACACCCGATAAAAATAAAAAAAACAATATAGATTATATTATTACTAATAGGACCATGTGATAAATTCGTCTACAAGTCACAATGTGTGTGTGTGTGAGAGAGAGAGAGAGAGAAAAGAAGAAGAAGAAATCAGCCGCAAAGTCGAAGCACGAGAGGTGGAACTAGACTTTCGTAAGCCCTCGGATTTGGACTTGAATTTGTGAGGATGAAATGGCTAGGAAATCAAAATGTGCCTTGGTCAATGGGTTCAGGCTTAATGAGAGGTGGAAGGTTTGCCACACAATACATATGTATTACAGGGGTGGGGACAACAAAATTCCAACCCACTAGGCTAACCATTAATGTGCGTGTAGGTTCGATCCGTTGAAATTTAAAAAATAGGTAAAAAAATTTTAAAAAAAATATAACTCGTCTAAGAGTTTAACTAGTATTCTGAGAGACTACTTTGGATGGTAGGCTGTCAGCTCTTAATAGATTTTTTCTACTGCACACATCTGACTTAATTAGGACACAACCTAGTGAATTGGAATAGAACCCAGCCTACTCCAAAAGTTCATTCTACATCAAAAATGCATTAAGTGAAAGAATCAGTAGGATTTTGAATTGATCATCAAGGTATATATGTACACAAGGGAAAGAAAAAAGAAGAAAAATTTACAAAGATTTGCTCTTTATCTGCCTTCACAAATGGTGATAGTAACATTGTTAATAGAACATCTTTCCTGTATCTGTTGAGAAGATTGTCTCTTGGAAGAAGAAATTTGTCTTTCAGTAAACGCAGGTTGCTTTGGGGTCGGAAGATTTACAATTTCACTACCAAGCATTGAAAAAACAATAGAAACAGTTGGTCTATCTTTCGCAGATTCTTGCACACATAACAGTCCCACATGTATATATCTCAAAATTTCCATTCTCAAGTGTGTATCATATATCTTTGGAGCTAGTAATGCCATGATATTATCTTCATTCCATAATTTCCAAACCTGAAGATTTTGAGATGAGAATGAATAATCGGAATACAAACAAAACATGAAAGTTTGAAAATCTACATTAATGGAGGAAATGACTTACGAATCCTAGAAGGCTCAAAGAATGCTCATCTTGATAAAAACTGGTGTTTCTTCTCCCACTTATAATCTCTAATATCAGTATTCCAAAGCTGTAGACATCAGATTTTTCTGAGAATTTTCCTCCCATTGCATATTCAGGAGCCATATAGCCACTGCATCACATCATTTTAGCATAAAAAAAGTAAAATAAATTCAATATAACTTGAATTATTGCATGAGAATAATGAATTATTCTAGGCAAAGAGTATAAGCTTACTATGTTCCAACAACCCTTCTCGTGGTCGCTTGATATTGGTTGCCTCCAAAAATCCTTGCTAAGCCAAAATCTGAAATCTTTGGGTTTAGTTGTTCATCCAATAAAATATTACTTGCTTTTAAATCTCTATGTATAATTCTTAATCTGGAATCTCTGTGAAGGTAAAGCAGGCCTCGGCCAATCCCTTTGATGATATTGACATGTTTACTCCAATCTAGGACTTCTTGTTTGAGTGAATCTGAAAGTTGTTTCCAAAAGAATAAGTGATGCGGAAGGAACCAATTGGAAAACAAAGAAATGGCAAAAAAAAGAGCTCAAAAATCAACTTACCAAAAATAAATGCATCTAAGCTTCCATTTGGCATGTATTCATAGATCAACATCTTTTCTTCTCCTTCAATGCAGCAGCCAAGGAGTCGAACCAGATTGCGATGCTGGAGTTTGGAGATCACTACAACCTCATTCAATAACTCCTCTAGCCCTTGTCCAGAGGATCTTGAAAGCCTTTTCACAGCTATTTCTTGCCCATCTGCCATTTTTCCCTGAAAATAGGAGTCATCAATTTTATATGGTTCAATATTGCATAAATCTGATATGAAATTGCATTACCTTGTATACTGGACCAAAACCACCCTGCCCCAACTTATTAGCAGAATGAAAGTTGTCTGTTGCCTTTGCCAACCCTTGAAAACTATATAATGGCAGCTCTTCAAGTTTAATTTGATGGGTATTCTCTCGAAGCATGCTACCAGTTGAATACTCTTGATACACTTCCCCTCTTTTAAATGTTAATTGCTTACTTTTCTGCTTCCTTCCTGATGTTGAAACTAATTAGTAGTGGTTTTTGTCTACAACGAACTTTTGTATGTACTTCTGAGCTAACCCTTTTGAACATACTACCTCTTTGTTTGGCCATCCACCTCCAAGAGTAGTATGCACAGATTGCAATGGTAATTGATCCTATGCTTATTGCAATTGCGAGAACTGTTTTCATGTTCTTCTCTTCATCTGTAAAATAGGACAAACTAAGAGATTTCACTGACAAATGAACACATTAGTTAAGGTTGCATTTGGAATGATGACTTTGCAAATGGAAAACTTTTTCAAACAATTTGAAACAGAATCAATATGCAAGGAGTTTCGGTTGATACATATTTGCTCTCAAATTCAGTGGACATAAGAATTCTGAATCATCAAATAAACATATGACAAAAGGAAAGGAAAAGAGGATAAGTAGAAGCATAGGTGAAATTCACTGCAATGGTGACACAACACATTACCAAGCTCTGAATATGCCACTCGAATGTAAACGTCTGCCCCACCATCTGGGAATTTCTGTATGTCAATTAGATTTCCACTCCATTGCATACACCCAATTCCAATGTAAAATGAATAAGCTATACATGAACAGTTATTCAAGCACAGACTTCCACAACTGTCATGTAGACCAGGTGACCACACCTCAAAATCTGGTACTTTTACTCTTTCAAGCTTCAAAAACCCATCCTCTTTTACCTTTTCATTGATGGTATTGTTTCTCTCACATTGTAATGGTGTCTTTCTTATGCATCCACTAGACCAATTTCCTCTACTCCATTCCTCCGTATGCTTTGGCTCAAATCCATTTAAACAGGTACATATAGGTGAATCCAGTGAATTACAGCTTCCAAATGGACCACATTTGCCATAAACATCACACTCATTTTCTGGCCCCCACCACGGCACGGTCCAGTCTTCTTTCGCAACAAACCGATACTTCTCCTGTAGAGTTCCTTCATTATTCAAGAAGATGTAGCTTAAAATGGACTCATTGGCATAGCTAAAAGTTAGATCAACAGTTCCTTTTTTGTCGTCAACAAGATTAAATCCATTACTATATAATTTATACATTACTGGAACTCCAATAAAAACCTGACCATTCCAAGGACCACTACGCCAGTATGGATGACTACCATTCCATACAAAAAACTGCGGGATGCTTAGAGGATCAACTCCTGCAGAGAAGGATCCAATGGATGGATCCGATGGACTTTTCCAAGATGTCAGCAGAGTCATCTCACCTTTCTTTGCATCAGTACCAAGTCTCATCATCTGTAAGAATGAGTTTGAAGGATGTTGAAAACTCTCCCATATGATCCTTCCACTGGAGTTGTCTCGTAAGACAAGGTTCCCGGTATCTAGAAGCTGGGCACTTGAATTGGCCACAGGATTCGAAACATTTGATGACCAAATGACCTCCTTCTGCCCATTCAAGATTACCAGATTACCACCCTCTGATATCGTCACAATCCCAGATGAATCATTCAAAGGCTTGTCTCTATTAGCAACCCATACAGCAGTCGTCACTGGGATGTTATCCAAGATACCAACATAACGATTTGTAGTATTTACAGGACTAAAGAACCCCAGCTTGAAGGTCTTTCCAACGGAGACTATAATTTCAGGGTCTTTGATGGATTGTGTTGATGTAATTGTGTCTCTGGAAGTGCAAAACTCTGACCAGAAACATATTAGTATTAGAACAAGGGCTTGAAAAGGTATAAACTTCAGATTATTGGAATGTGCCATATGTGGTTTGAGTCCTTATTGGCAAGGGTGGAAGGTGTTCTATATATTCCATGAACAATGGTCACTTTCTTCACTTCTGGAGATGTTTCCATGAAGAAGCAAGTAGCTTAAGGCTTAAGTCTCCTTTCTGTTGGATTTCCAATTGGGTGTGGGGTTTCCCAAAAGTCATCCTCGAATCTGATAAAAAAAAAAAATCCTTGACTTTGGAAGATTTCTTTGAAAACTGGAAGGTAGAGGCACTCAAGGACAGACCACGGCGTTGGCCAACCATTTTCATTCATGTTTGCCTTGCACATGAGCCACAAATAGCAATCAAGCTGCCTGCTGGATTGCAGTACACAGAAAGAAACAGAAACAGGGCTTAAACGACAATATTTTGTCCCGAGGAAGCCATGATTTTAGACTTTGATGCCATGCAGTTGGGTGATCTAATTTTGTTATCCTCTCTTTTGCACAGTTCCAATACACATACCACACCCACCCACTTATTTATTCTTATTGTAGGCCAACAGAAAATTTACCAGCTGATATGTTAATATGTCAAGGGATCAAGTGCATTGGTGGTATCTAAGCCTGTCAACCTAGTCATGGTCATGTCAAACGGTTCGTGTTGCCCTTGTGTCAAAATTAATGGTGAAATCCATTTTACTAATTTGGTTCTGTAGCACTCAATCCCCCCATGGTATAAAAATAATCACTTCACCCCACATGTTTTTAGACTAATCTGCTACTGTCACACGTCGAAATAAGCTGTTCTTCCCTCCATCTCCTTTCTTCCTCTTTCTCCTTCAATGTGACACCACGGCCAAAAACCAGTCAAAGCATCAAAACAGAGCACTGAAGAAGGTGTTTTTCCAACACCTTGGAGTACCATTTATATAAAAAATTATCTCCAAGAGCTTTTGGCCGGAGTTACAGCAGTATACATGAAATAAACTACAAAGAGTACAGATGTCATTATATACTAACAATCACCCCCAATGAGGCAATTCGTCAAACACCTGGGAAGCAACTTTGCAAAATTTCCACACTATACCAAAATGTAGGTGCATCGCGGATCTATCTCCTTTCTTCAAACTTCTAACGGTTCTTTTATTTTGAAGAAAAACTTCGCATTAACCAGGGGGCATCAATTTGAGAGAGAGAGAGAGAGAGAGATCAATCCAAAGAATCGACAAAGCAGAGAGAGTATGCAGAGAGAGAGAGAAGACAAATCTGAGTGAATGATCCACTGCATTATGATTAAAATGTAAGCTAATGCTGAGTAGTTGTCTTACGTAGTCCACAACCTTGTGAATTAAAAAATTATCTAGGCTACATCAAAATTAATATGTTGCAAGAAAAGTTAAATCGAATTACAAAAGTATGTACACCGAATGAAGAACAAAAATCAAAAGTAATTATCATGATTGGCCTTTTATCGGCCATCAACAATTGTGACAGTGAGACCATTGAGAGAACACTGTTTTTCTGAAGAAATATGCCTTTCGATAAATGCTGGTTGTTTTGGGGAAGGAAGATTTGCAATATCACTACTAAGCATTGATAGAACAGTCGCAACATTTGGCCTATCTTTTGCAAATTCTTGCACGCATAATAGTCCTACATGTATATATCCCAAGATCTCCAATCTGCTGTTTGTATCAGCAATTCCGCAATTTCCATGCCTGCAGACATTAAGACCGTTGAGCGACAATCTTCTCTTCATTCCACAATTTCCATGCCTGCAGACATTAAGATGAGAATGAAGTGTTCGATTTGGAACATTCGATATCAACCAGATGATAAGGTCCATAAAGATTCTCTTGGTAAAGAAAAACGAACTTACAAATCTTAGAAGGCTTAAAGAGTGTTCATCATCATAAAAGCTGGTGTTCCTTCTCCCAGATATAATCTCTAATATCAACACTCCGAAGCTGTAGACATCGGACTTTTCTGAGAATCTTCCCTCCATAGCATATTCAGGGGCCATATATCCGCTGTGTATATCAATTTACAATAGAAAGTAAATAATTGTAATAAAGTTGAATTATTGCATGAGATGTAACTTCATCACATGGAGAAAGATACATATACATACTATGTTCCGACAACCCTTTTAGTATTGACTTGATCTTGGTTGCCTTCAAAAATCCTTGCCATGCCGTAATCTGAAATCTTTGGGTTTAGCTCTTCATCCAACAATATGTTACTCAGTTTTAAATCTCTAAGAATAATTCTTAATCTGGAATCTCTATGAAGGTAAAGCAGGCCACGACCAATCCCTTCGATGATGTTGATGCGTTTACCCCAGTCTAGGAGTTTTTGTTTCAATGAATCTGAGACATTTGTTTTTGAAAGGACAAGTATGAAAAGTTTGTAAGCTGTAAGGAAATTGAAGTTGAGAAGACTGTCATATTTTTAAGGCAAGGAAGTCAATAGTAATATAGAAAGCAATAACTTAACAACTACTGGTGATTATAACTGACCAAAAAGAAATGCATCCAAACTTCCATTTGGCATGTATTCATAGATCAGCATCTTTTCTTCTCCTTCTATGCAGCAGCCAAGGAGTCAAACAAGATTGCGATGCTGGAGTTTAGAAATTACCACAACTTCATTCATACACTCCTGTAACCCTTGTCCAGAGGATCTAGAGAGCCTTTTCACAGCTATTTCTTGTCCATCCAAAAGTTTTCCCTGAAAATAAGCATCAAATCAGTTGTATATGGTTCAGTATCCCATGAAGCCCCGGATGAACAACCATTACCTTGTACACTGGACCAAAACCACCCTGCCCAAGCTTAGTAGCAACATGAAAGTTGTCGGTTGCTTTTGCCAAATTCTCAAAACTAAATAATGGCAGCTCTTCAAGTTTTATTGGGTGGGTATTTTCTCGAAGCACACTTTCAGTAGGATCATCTGGATGTGCTTCAAGTTTTTGCTTCCTTCCTGTTGCAGGAACCTAACTATATGTAATTTTGTCAAAGAGTCCGTATTTGCAAATACTTCTGAACTAACTCTGAGTAACATACTACCTCTTCGCTTGGCTGTCCACCTCCAAGAAATGTAGGTGCAGATGGCAATGGCAACTGACCCTGCTAATGATAACTGCCAGTTTTACTTTGATGGTTTTTCCTTCATCTGTAAAACAGAACAAAATTCAAGGGTTCAGCTAAATTGGTCAAAAGAAAAAAAGTTGCATTTAGCTGAATGCTTTTGAAAGTCTTGGTTTTGAGCTTCAAGTTACAAATCTGGAGTAGTTTACTGAACAGATTGAGGGCTAAAGTTTTCAAAATATGCCGCAACCCAAATCCAGTTGCATAACTCGTCAGGGTAGCTCAAATGGAATGATTTCAGGAGTAATATTTACGAGGTCCCAAATGCAACTCTAACAATGGAGGCCTGGTTTACACGATACGCATGATTGAGGATTGAGTGAAAGCATCTGAAGTTCATACTGGAACCACGAGTCCAACGGATATGTGGTTGGGACAGTAGTCAGTGTAAAAAAAACACAGTTCCACATATTTGTTAAACACATAGAAAAAGAGGATACGTATTTTTTATTTTTTTTAGAGTTAAGTATAGGAGCATAATTCACTACAAGATGATAGAGAAGACAAAATGTGTTACCAAGCTCTGAATATGCCACTCGAATGTAAAGATCAACCCCGCTGCTGGGGAGTCTCTGAATGTCCAGTAGACTTCCACTCCATTGCATACACCCAATGCCTGTGTAATATGAATAAGCTATACAGTAACAATTATTCAGGCATAGGCTTCCACAATTGTCTTCTATAGTAGCAGATGACAACTCCGCAAAGTCTGGCACTTTCATCGCCTGAAGCTTCAAAAATCCATCTTTTTTGCCCACATCATTGACAGAATTGTTTCACTCACATCGCAATGGTGTCTTTCTTATGCATCCACTAGACCAATTTCCTCGACTCCATTCATTCATATGCTTCGGCTCAAATCCCCTTAAACAGGTACAAATTGGTGACTCCAGTGAATTACAGCTTCCAAATGGTCCACACTTGCCATAAACATCACACTCATGTTCTATAGCCGAACATCCCACTTCCCACTCTTCTTTTCCACCAAACCACCAAATCTTCTGCTGTAGCAATCCTTCGGAATTCAAGTGGAGGTATAATAAATAGGACTGATCACTGGGATAGTTATAGGTTAGAGAAATGGTTCCTTCTTTGTCATCTACAAGATTAAATCCATTGAGATATGAAGAATCCATGCTTGGAACTCCAATAAAAATCTGACCATTCCAAGGACCACTACGCCAATATGGATGGCTACCATTCCGAACAAAAAGTTGTGGGATGTTCAGAGGCTCAACTCCAACGGAGAAGGTTCCAACAGATGGATTCGAAGGACTTTTCCATGATGTTAGCAAAGTACTCTCTTGTGTCTTTGCATCAGTACCAATTGTCATCTTCTGTAAGAATGAGTCTGAAGGATGTTGAAAACTTTCCCATATGATCTGTCCACTGGAGTTGTCTCGCAAGTTGAGGTTCCCGGTATCCAAAAGCTGTGCACTTGAATTTGCCACAGGATTTGAAACATTTGATGACCAAATGATCTCCTTCTGTCCATTCAAGATTACAAGATTACCATCCTCCGATATTGTCACAATACCGGAAGAATCATTTAGTGGCTTGTTTCTATTAGCTACCCAAACCGGAGTCACTACAGAGACGTTGCACAAGATACCAACATAACGATTTGTAGAATTCACAGGAGTAAAGAATCCCAGCTTGAAGATCTGGCCAATGGAGACGATAGTTTCAGAGTCTTTGATGTATTGTGTGGATGTAATGATGTCTGTGGAAGTGCAAAACTCTGAACAAAAACATACAAGTATGAGAACAAGGGCCTGAAAAGGCATAACCCTTGCATTGTCGGGATGTCCTATATGTCATGGACTGCTACTTCCTGGTGAGGACAAAAGGTAGTATGTGCTGCTTATAGACTTCCACGAACAAAAGCTCAATTTCTTCACTTCAACCTTATACTTTTCCACGCGAAATAAGATATTTCCTTGAAGAAGCAAGTAGGTTGAGACTAAATTCTCTCGGTAAGTCGAACTTTCTTTACTGAAAAAAAAATATTTCCAGAAGCCGTCAGGTTGGATTTCACATATGGTGATTTTCACACTTTCAGATTTTTCTTATTCTTCGACCATCTCCGACCTTGACTTATATATAAACTCAAATTTTAATTTGAGTTAAAATAACTTAAAAAAAATTTTCAACCTTAAACTCAAACCTAAAACAAATCAATGCAAAATTTATTCTGGATTCAAATTATAACAGCCTCAAATTATATAACAAATTTCTATAAAACTAAAAAACTCTATCACTGACCGTCACCAAAACTTTCACAAATCAGCTTGTGGGTAAATTTTTTTCTTTTCATCTTTCATCTTCTTGATTTCTTATATTTTTCAAAACCTTAATCTCATCCATCTTTCATACTATATAAATCTTAAATTTATCAATCAAATTTTTCTTTGATTTTTTTGATTTAAACACAATCAATAATACAATTTTACATCACCTATTCTTTCTAAAATTTTAATTCTTCCACACCCACAAATTTAAAAAAATTGTCATTTTATTTCTTTAATGTTCTATTTTTGTTAAAAACATATGTTTTTAAGTTTTTGAAACTAGAGCTATGTCAAAATAGTTATATTTTTTTTTCTTTATTTGGATTTATAAAAAATAATAATGAATTAGAATAATCTTAAAATTACGGGATAGTTTCTTTATTCCTATCTAGTGTTGTATATATATTCATTTTCTTTGTAAATGACGGATTTGTGGAGAGATATGAAAGTTTCATTTATTTTATCAAATATTATTATTAGACACAAATTAATAAACAAATTAGATATTAGTGAAATTTTTTATCATACTAACTTGCAAAATACCCAGCACGGACAGAACACATGCCTACAAATAACCCAACCCGATCTTTATTCCTTTGTGCTTGTGGTTTCACAACCCAAACGCCAACTCTAAACCACCCCCCCAGCCACCACCACCACAACGAGGCTGTTACCCACAAGAAGGGTTGTAGTAAGTCCAGCAATAGAACCAATGCCTATTAACACAGATTTATATTTCACATCTATTCCAATTTTTTTTAAAGTACTATGTATACAAATATAAACAAGAAGGCTTCCCATTAGGCATAATAGGAAGTTCCACTGAAATACCATGTTTACAACAACAACAACAACAAAAGATTAAAAACAAAATGATCTAAACCAATGAAATAATATATAGACTGCAATGTCCATATACAAATTCATCTACCCACAATGTACCTGTGGTCATGTAGATTCTTCAGCTGAATTAACAATTGCAGCAAATCCAACATATGCAAAAAATACCACAGTTGCTCTGACTGTGGTGGATGTATGAGAGAGAAAACCATTTGGGGCAAACGGTAAGAAAACTGACACATCAACCTTTAAAAGCTCGGTGTTAAAAAAAAAAAACCTTTAAAAGCTCGGACTGTGGTGGATGTGAGAGAGAGACTTAGAGGATTAGGGTCAGGGTGGTGGGTGGTAGAGCGATGATGGGCAGATTTTACGGTTAGTATTTGGGTGGTGCCACCAGAACAAGAAAGAAAGAAGATGGGGAAAAGGTGCACAATGAGAGTGGCCACCCACAGCCACTCCAATGGACCCAAAGGTCTCTCTTTAATCTATTCAAACCGTATTGAACCAGAGATTGGAGTAGGAAATTGGGCATATATAATCTTTAAACCGTGAAGTAATGCCCACAAGGGTAACTTCACTTTGAACATGCTTTACCGGCCACTTTTTTTTATTTCTTCAAACTGCTAATAGTCCTTTTATTTGGAAGACAAATTTTTCATATTAACCAGGATGCATCAAATTGAAAGAGAGAGAGAGAGAGACCGAAGATCTAGTGAGACTCGGTGACTGCTGAATAATCATCCTTCATACATGTACAAAAAGGTTTTCAACCTTCACTTTGAAATGACACCTTTAATTGACAAATTTGATAAATCTACCAATTTATCACTTGAAATAAATAAGGTAAAGTTGTGTCAATCATACATTAAAGAAGCAATCGTGTTTATAATTATGTGACCTAATGATATTGGGGTTGTATAACCACTCTATTATCATTTACAATATAATATAATGCTGCATAGTTGACTTAATGGGAAGATCAAAAATGAAAATCATTCTCATGATTTGCAAATTATGACCCTCCATGATTGTGATGGTGAGATTGTTGATAGAACCCTGTTTTTGACTCTGATGAGAAGACTGTGTCCCTGAATAAACAAGTTTTTCAGTAAATGCAAGTTGTTTTGGAAAAGAAAGATCTACAATTTCACTACCAAGCATCGAAAGCACAGTCGACACATTTGACCTCTCTTTTGCAAATTCTTGGAAGCATAATAGTCCTACATGAATATATTTCAATTTTTCCATTTTGAAGGACGGATCAGACATCACTGGATCTACTAGAGCACCAACGTTATCTTCATTCCACAATTTCCATGCCTGAGCACATCAAGATGAGAATCCAGTGTTGGATTTGGAACATTCAATATCAACCGAAAGGTAAGGCCCGCAAATATTTGTCTTAGTAGATAAAATGAACTTACAAATCTTAGAAGGCTAAAAGAGTTCTCATCATCATAAAAGCTGGTGTTCCTTCTCCCTGATATAGTCTCTAATATCAACACTCCGAAACTGTAGACATCAGATATTTCTGAGAATATTCCTGCCAATGTATATTCAAGTGCCATATAACCACTGCATCAAAAAAAAAATAGCATAAATAGTATATCATGAAGCAATTTCAACAAAGAGATGTCTACTTACTATGTTCCAACGACCTTTCTAGTATTGGCTTGATCTTGGTTGCCTTAAAAAATCCTTGCCATGCCAAAATCTGAAATCTTTAGATTTAGCTGTTTGTCCAACAAAATGTTACTCGGTTTTAAATCTCTATGAATAATTCTTAATCTGGAATCTCTATGAAGGTAAAGCAGGCCACGTCCAATCCCTTCAATGATGTTGATACGTTTACTCCAATCAAGGAGTTCTTGTTTTGGTGAATCTGGATGTTCCATTTTTGGAAGAAGTGTGAAAAGGTTGTAAGCTGAAGGAAATTGAAGTTCAGATGCCTATTATCTTTTGAATGCAATGAAGCAATAGTAATGCATAAGCAATGACTTAGGAACTACAATTGATTTTCAGCTAACCAAAAAGAAATGCATCCAAGCTTCCATTTGGCAAGTATTCATATATCAACATCTTTTCTTCTCCTTCTACGCAGCAGCCAAGAAGTCGAACAAGATTGCGATGCTGGAGTTTAGAAATCACCACAACTTCATTCATAAACTCCTCTAGACCTTGTCAAGAAAATCTTGAAAGTCTTTTCATGGCTAAGTCTTTTTTCCCTGAAAATAGTAGTCATCAATTTTATATGGTTCAACATGGCATAAATGTGAGATGAACTTGCATTACCTTGTATACTGGTCCAAAACCACCCTGCCCCAGCTTGTTACCAAAATGAAAGTTATCTGTTGCATTTGCCAAATCCTCCAAACTATATAATAACAGTTCCTCAAGATTAGGTTGGTGGGTATTCTCATGCAGCACACTTTCAGTAGAATACTCCGGATACAGTTCCGCCCTTCTAAATAATAATTGCTTACTTTTCTGCTTCCTCCTGATGCCGAAAGAAATTAGTAATGATTTTTATTTGCAATGAAGATTTCTATATGCTTCTAAGATAATTCTTATAAACATATTACCTTTGTGTTTGGCCATCCACCTCCAAAAACAATATGCGCAGATTGCAATGGTTATTGACCCTATGCTTATTGTAATTGCGAGAACTTTTTTAACGTTTTTCTCTTTGTCTATCAAATAGAACAAACTCTTAAGAGATTTCAGTATATAATGAGCAAAAGAATTAAGTTTGCATTTGAATGGATGGCTTTGCAAAAGAAAACTATTGCAAACAACTTGAAACAGAAACAATATGCAAGGAATTTCAAGTTGACTCTTAAATGCAGTGGACATATAAGAACTCTGAACCAGCAAATAACCACATTGACAAAAGGAAAAGAAGATAAGCAGAAGCATAGGTGAAATTCACCGGTGACGAAACATATTACCAAGCTCTGAATATGCCACTCGAATGTAAAGATCCGCCCCACCATCCGAGAATTTTTGGATGTCAATTAGACTTCCACTCCATTGCATACACCCAATTCTAGAGTAACCTGAATAAGCTATACATGAACAGTTATTCAAGCACAGGCTTCCACAATTGTCTTCTAGACCAAATTTCAAAAATCCATCCCCTTTTCCCTTTTCATTGACGGTATTGTTGTTGAGATTTAACACGATTTAAATTCACTAACAAACACACACAATCGAAGAACAAATTAAGAATATAAAGCAATAAGAAGCAAGAAAGAACGAGACACAGATTTTACGTGGTTCGGCAATTTGCCTACGTCCACGAAACTGCAGGGATTTCACTATTGAGAGAGTTGAATACAGAGAGCGGCTGTACAATCCACGATTAACCCTAATCACCAAAACAACAGGGTTTATATGTCCTATGCACTGGCCTGTATAACGGCCTCGGGCCCAAACGGGCTCCATGAGCGCTCGCTCCTATCGGCCAAGCCTTCGCTCCATGGACTAAGCCTCAGAAAATTTTCCATTAAAAACCACACAACATTGCTTCGGGTCGGGTCATCATCCGGATCACATATACAAACTAGACTCCATAAAAAAAAACAAACAATTATTGTTTCTCTCACATTGCAATGGTGTCTTCCTTTTGCATCCACTAGACCAATTTCCTCGACTCCATTCATCCATATGCTTTGGCTTAAATCCCCTTAAACAGGTACAAATTGGTGACTCCACTGAATTACAGCTTCCAAATGGTCCACACTTGCCATAAACATCACACTCATTTTTTGGCGCCCACCACGACACGTTCCAGTCTTCTTTCCCAACAAATCGATGCTTCTGCGTTAGAGATGCTTCAGAATTCAACTGGAGGTATAATACAATGAACTCATTGGCAGAGCTGAAAGTTAGATCAACAGTTCCTTTATTGTCATCAACAAGATTAATTCCATTGCCATATAATTTATGCATTATTGGAATTCCTATAAAAACCTGACCATTCCAAGGACCACTACGCCAGTGTGGATGACTATCATTCCATACAAAAAACTGCGGGATGATTAAAGGATCAACTCCAGCAAAGAAAGTTCCAGTGGATGGATCCGAGGGACTTTTCCATGATGTCAACAGAGTCCTCTCACCTGTTTTTGCATCAGTACCAAGTCGCATCTTCTGTAAGAATGAGTCTGAAGGATGTTGAAAACTCTCCCATATGATCCTTCCACTAGAGTTATCTCGTAAGACAAGGTTCCCCGTATCCAGAGCTGGGCACTCGAATTCGCCACAGGATGCGAAACATTTGATGACCAAATGATCTCCTTCTGCCCATTTAGGATGACCAGATTACCATCCTCGGATATTGTCAAAATCCCAGATGAATCATTCAGAGACTTATCTCTATTGGCAACCCATACCGCAGTAGTTGCAGGGATGTTTTCCAAGATTCCAACATAACGATTTGTAGAATTTCCAGGACTAAAGAATCCAAGCTTGAAGGTCTTTCCAATGGAGACTATAGTTTTAGGGTCTTTGATGAATTGTGTGGGTGTAATAGTGTCTATGGAAGTGCAAACCTCTAACCAAAAACATAGAAGTATGAGAACAAGGCCTTGAAAAAGTGAAAACTTCGGATTACCGGAACGTGTCATATGTGATCTGAGTGCTTGTTGGTGAGGAGGGAAGGCTATATGTGAGTTCTATAGACTTCTGCACGGGATAATACCTGTAATAGTATGAGACAACGATCTCCACGCTGGTGAACCTGAAACAACAGGGTCAGAAAAAAGGGGGTCAGACGTGTGCCCGGCTAATCTCCTCCGAAGCTTAAGTCAGTATAAGATCGAAGGGTTTTGCTTAATGGACTATTTTTCTAGTTCAAGTTTGCGTTCCTTTGTCCATTTTTATGAGGAGTATTTATACCTGAATTAACAATGATTGTCAAAGATCTCAAGTCCCATCTGGATATTTTACATCTGACACACCATTCCTCGTGCAATGAGTGTTTTCTACTCACGTCTTCTTTTATTGAATGCAAGGAAAATGGGGTACATGCTCGATCAAATGCTGAGCATTTATGCTACTCCCCGAGTACCCAAATCTCCCAGATTGGCATCTGACATCAACTGAGCATTAAATACTCGGGGGAGAACAGTTTCTTGGGAGAGCCGATCGCATCATCTCGGCGCATTAGCTATTAATGCTTAGCCATCATGACAATAGGCTTAGACTCCTAGAGGGCAGGTGCTGGCAGGCGCGCATTTATTTGTCTTATCACTATCACTCATTTCGCCATAAATGTGGTGTTATATCGCATTAAATACGATGCCAGCTGTAGTACTCGGCGGCTCCTAGTTATCGCACCTCGGCTTACCTCCTCGGCACCCTTTGGACATCCCAACAACTTCATTATTCCAAGTGTTAACCTAGGGGCCGTAGAGTCAGCTAGAGTCTCGCCAACTACCTCCAGCCGCCATCCTTTTCGCCGTGTAAGACAAGTGGCGTAAAGAGATTGGGGGCTCCATCATCATGCCTTATTAATAGCGACGGTTACTTGCACGTTTGGTGCCGCCCTTTTCAAATGCCCTAATGATGACCCAACTTTTCGATTTTTGCTCCCTGTGAGGCAGTATAAATAGGAGGTTTTCATACCTTTTTAGAACTTTTGCATCATCAACCTCTCTTCAGCAATCAGACCCCGAGTGCTCCTCTATTCTCCTCCGAGCTTCCTTTGTCCTCCGAGCTCTCACTTCGAAGACCACCTTCCTGTAAGTACTTCTACTTGAGTTTTTTCTCCCTTCATTTCCTCTATATTTCATCCTTTTAGCGCCCACCAATGGCTAGAACTAGTAGAACCAAGGGAGAGACGTCTATTAGGGCTAGGACTACCCACAAGTTGAGGAGAACCCAAGTGACTGATGAGAATATCAAAGCCTTTAGGGTTAGGTACCACATCCGTGAGCCTGTCTTCGCTTTCCCCTTCAACCTCACTCACCATAGGATGGATATGGGAAACGTGGGCATGATGCCTTTCTGGACGAAGGCCATTATGGAAGGAGGGTTGACCTTCCCCCTTCATCCCCTGTTGCTCGGAGCATTGATGCAACTGAAACTCTTTCACCTTCAATATTGGGTTAACTTCTTTAGGATTATGATGGGCGTAGTCGCCTTAAACGCTCGACTGGAGACTAACTTGGGGGTAGATGAAATTTTATTTTGCTGCGACCTGAGGCTAGTCGCCAGGGGGCGATATTACCTCCAGGCTCGAGATGCCTCAATGTATCTGGTAACCCACATGCCTAACTCGGACAAAGGGTATGTAGATGATCTGATCATGCTCGACGGCAGTTGGGAGAAAGGGACCGGGCCCGAGTATGACGAATTATACTGCCCTAAAGTGCCGAGGGATGAAGGTGTGTTTTCTTTTTGATTTCTTGATTTTGTTATTCTTAGGTTCGAGGGACGCACTAATTTTGCTTTACTTTTGTAGAAGGATATCACTGGGACGCTGCTTAACCGTTTAGGTCCCAAGTCTGGTTTGCCGACCTGCTAAGGGTTTGGTCCTTGGACCCAGTTAAGTGAGCGACGCATACTCTCCTCGGCTACACTCCGACTTACAACCGATTCTCCCATATTCCACCTCTTTTCAACCCTTCTATTTGGAAAGACTATTCCTCGTCGGAGAGGAAGAATCCGAGGGAAATTCTGAAGAAGGGTCTGATCACGCTTCCAAACCCGTCTGATCACGCTTCCAAACCCCTTGCGCTAGAGATGTTTAATCCACCACCAATCACTGCTGCTACAATGGAGGCTGCGACGGTGGCAAGGAGAGCCAGGCTTGCCGGGTTAATAGGGCCTTCTAATACTACCCCCATCATCCCCCCAACTAGTTCTTCCCGGAGGCAATCGCCCCCGCCCCCGCCGAGTATGCAACAAGCAAGGGACCCAGCCGTTCTGACCAGGAAAAGGCCCCAATCTCAACAAGTCCCTGCTTCGGGAGACCAGCTGAAGGAAAGGCGTGCCCAGGACGCCAAACAATATAAGGAGCGTCGTGTGAAGCGGCAGCATGACTCCCCGGCCCCGGGCCCATCTATCTCGGGTGAGTGGGTTGGTCGGGCCGAGACCAAGAGCTGCCGCCCTGTTCTAAAAGCTGACTCTATCCTCGAATCCCCCTGAAGTGGCATTTGCCGTCACGGGGACACTTCAATTTGACGCTGATATGACCGTGTACAAAGGTTACTCGGACAATCGACTTTCTGATGAGCATTATCCAAAGCAACCTGGTGATAAGTTTAACACTTTTTCGAGCATTCCCCGCATCCTTTTGGTCGTCCCCTAATATTCCTCCTTTTTTAGGCCAGCTAGCAGGTGGGGGCCATAATTGAATATTTTTGGGAATATAAGCAAGAGGCTAAGAACATGAACGAGCTGTAGCTGCTAAAGATGACCACATCCTCAAGGTCGAGAGAACCCTCAGTGACCAAACCAAGCACATCGTCGAGCTCATCCGCCACTGAGATGTCGTTCATGCCGAGATGAAAAAGGCTAAGGCGGATGAAGTTGTGATGATAAAGAAGGCCGAGGAGTACGAGCTACGAGTGTCTTCCTCCGAAGCCAAGCTGCAAGAGTCCGAGTCTGTAATCACGCTCATACTGCCAAAGTGAACTCCTTGATAGCAGAAAAAGCGGGGGAGTAAGAAAGGCTGCAATCGGAGTGTCAAAGGGTGTGGGCAGCCACTCAAAACCAAATGGTCCCCGCTTTCGAGGAAGCCAAGAAGAAGGCTTTCAAAGAAGGTTGGGACACCCCCTTCATGCTTGCCACGTCGAGGTAGGCTCGGACTTATTCGCCATGCATAGCTTTCGAGGGAGGCTGATGACGAAGCCCTAGACGAACCGGTCCGATCCGACCTTTTTGACCACGTGGAGGTAGAGGGCCGGCGGGGCTGAAGGTGGAAACGAGACCATCACACTCAACGACAGCTCTTCTTCCCTTTTTGCCACCTACCGAGCCAACAGATGATTTGCCCCCTCTGTCCCCAATCATTTTTGGGGTGCATGACACCAAGCTGGATGAAATATTGGGGGTCAGAGGCGAGCTACAAAGGCGGCGTGGAGGCCTCGGTGGGGGAGTAGCCGGGGAGGAATGAGCCGAGGGCCTTAGTAGTTGTGGCCTGTCACTTCTATATCCTGTAATTGTTTTGTTGCTCTTTGTAGCTCTCATTTGTACAGAATTTAGCTATTATTTGTATGCCTGGGGGATGTAAAGCCCCTTTTCGATAATGAACTTCGTTTTCTATAAGTGTATTTTCTTTCTTCCTGCATCAATCGTGTTTCAAGAAATGGCCTCGACGTTACGTCAAGGATCTTTTGAAGTAGCAAGGCTTCACGCCGAATTCATAAGAGTAAATGCGTCGAACTTTGCTGTTGGGTCTTAGGATCCCTCGGGATCGAGTATATATGAGGGTGGTCTTACACCCCTCTGGGCTATAACCCCTAACGACCGAATGTTTGGCTCGTCAGTATTTTGAGGGCGTTGCTCCAAGGGTGGAGTCTTACACCCTCGGGGCCCGTACCCTAACAACCGAGCGCTTGGCTCGTGTTATATTTTGAAGGCGTTGTTCCAAGGGTGGAGTCTTACACCTTTCGGGGTCGTATCCCTAGCGACCGAGCG